GCATGAACATTCCAATTCGATAAAGTTTGAACTCATAATAATAATACACCCTTTTCTGGTTCATATAAAGTATGGCTAAAGTCTGATAATATTTTAACGGGTTTTTTCTATCTTTTCCTAATCAGATTTTACAGGAATAGATATTTTTGTTCATGAGAGCATTAACAATATTTACAAACAAAAGCAGAAAAGAAAATGATCAAAAAACGGGTTTTTGGATGTTGCTAACAATAACTAGTAAACAATGGCGGGAAAAAAACGGCTGGTAACTGCCACAAGGAAAAAGGCCGTACAAGAAAATATATGGACGCCGATTCTGGGCAGATACAAAAAAAAAGACAAAAAGACAAAAAAAAAAAAAGACAAAAAGACAAAAAAAAAAAGAGAGCACGACAGATAGGCAAACATAGCATTTGCAAGCAATTACGGCTGTACATTGAGAAAAGTTTCATGAATCAAGAATTTTTTATTTTTTTTTTTTTTTGCAGAGGATTGCTTTGTAGAAAAAGAAGATGACTTGGATTGAATCATTGTTGTGGATCATCAACAGTAGAGAGTTTTGTGTAATCAATTGCAGAGTCACCTGCAAATCGAACCGACAATTAAAAGCATGGAATTTTAAACAAAGCATAATAAGTTCTTTATTGCAATGGAGGAAAGGATAACATGTAAAAATGCTAATAACAAGGCTTACTCCGGGTGGAGTCAGTTGATGAGCGTGGTGGCGAAATGCTTCCTTTGATATCTGCGTTCACATTTTCAAGAAACTAAGAGGCATGTAGCTCGAGAAAATGGCGTTAATTGGAAACCAAAGAAGAAGAGAAAACAGTTGTTGCACCTAAAGAATGGCGAGAGCCACGAACAGCGTCGAAGTTTCTGTATGTATATCCAACAAAGTTGATATTTTGAGGGGTTATGCTCACCTACGAGCAAACACAAGAGGTCCAGAAGAATCAATAAGAAGAGAGCAACAAAACGTTAATAAGCTTCTTTTCTTTTTTCTTTGTGGTACCTTCCATGACGGTCCAGATCCTGTTCTTGTTGGTTTTGGACAGTCCACCTAAGGAAAAAATCAGAAGATGATAGTGATGCGGCCACTTGAAAAACAGAGATAGAAACTTTTCAATCCTTTGAGATGTTTGGATTTTTACCTCATCGAATTTCATAAAATTTTGGGTATCAAGTTCTCCATTGACCACTGGCTTAAAAGCTGCATCCATCTCATAGAGTCTTTCCCATTCCACATCTTTGAACCAAGGATGAGCCTAGATGTGTCTTATTTTTGTCAAAGCATGGGATGTAACAGACAAAGAGAAAAGACAAGAGAAAAGACAAGAGAAGAGTAAACAATGTTTTTTATTATATTTACATACTTTGATTTGCTCTGCTCCGGCTCCATGAGAACCAAGCCTATGTTCAGAATCACAAAGCAAACTACATATGAGATCTCGTGCCTCAGGTGTCAACCTTGCGTCCTCCGGGAATACCAAATGAGTTCTCCAGCTCACAATCTAAAATCCATCAAGCAAAACATTGGAATAAATCCACAGAATGTCAATTCATGTCAGAGAAAGGTGTGAAGATCCTAAGAGTAACAGAGATTCTTATTTTAACCATCTCAGTATCCTTCTTTAAGAAACTTTTTATGAATAAGATGAAGTACAAAGTGAAAACTACTGTAATTTAGTAGCAAGGAGACCTTTCTACATGTTGTTACGGGGTCATCGGAGTAAAATGGGGGATAACCAACGAGCATCTCATACATGATGGCACCCAACGACCACCTGCACTTACATGAATGCGTATGAGCCGATCAAAGGAAATAGATATGTGTAGATCAACTATTAGATGCTCCTTAATCATTAAGTAGCAAGAAAAGATAACAAGCTGGTCATGAATTCAGATTTCTATGGAGAATAATCTCAAGATATATTCGATGACCCACCAGTCACACTCTACACCATATCCCTTCTTCAGCAACACTTCAGGTGCAATATAATCAGGGGTACCAACAGTTGAATATGCCTGTTTCAAAACAATAAAACGCAAAATCCACAGGAGCAGTTTAATGCACACCCAAAATGTGATGAAATATGAAATAAAAGAGCTTAAAACAGAGTTTTTGTTGTATACCAGTTTTCTTCTGTTTATCTGCCAATGCTGCAGCTGTTCCAATGGGCTCTTCCAACGCCTTCCACGGCGTCCTATCGAGCAGTTCTCATCACCATCGATTGATTCATTTGTATTCTCATCATTCAAAGGTTCATTTACGTTCATAGCCGAAATATTTCTACAATCGAGAGGCTTACAGAGGCCAAAATCTGATAGCTTCATATGACCATTCTTGTCCAACAGAAGATTGTCTGGTTTTATATCCCTGCAAAAGATCTACCTTCAATACATATATACACAATTTAACGCTGCATTCAATATTAATGGAAACCTAAGATAGGTAGACCAACCTGTGAACATAGTTATGTTTATGTATCGACTCAATAGCCAAAACACTTTGTGCAATGTAAAACCGAGCCACGGTCTCAGTCAAAGTCTCTTCCCTCATAAGCAAAGTCATCACATCACCACCAGACAAATACTCCATGATGAGGTACAAATATTCTGGATCTTGGAACGAATAATAAAGCTTGACAATACAGTCACTAGCAACTTCGGCAAGCAAGTTCCTCTCAGCTCTAACATGTTCAACCTATTTAGAACGATCAACCAAAGAGTATCTGAAGACTTAACTCCCAAATATTTTATGCATAAATGTAAAAATAAAGAGAGTGAGATCATTTTAAGACTCACTTGCCCTCTACTAAGCATTTCGGACTTCTTCAGCTTCTTCATTGCATAAATGTTGCCTGTCTTTTTCTCACGGCATAGCCTCACCTAAGAAAGATACAAACATTTACATATAAGTAAAGTGCGTCTCATTACGTTGGTAAATCGTAGATACATAAACCCAAATATAGACTAACCTCACCGAAAGCCCCTCTGCCAATAATACTCAGAAGATCAAAATCATCAACGCAGAGCCTGTTCCTCATTAATCTAGTATACTCTGTCTCTTTTCTCTGCAAATCCTCTAGCAACTCGAGTTGTTCTTTCTCTGATACATCTAAAGATGCTATCTTTTGTTCTAGCACCCAACGCCTGCAAATTTTTTATAAAAAAATGCCAAATTTTCATTGAGAAAACGGTTGTATATATATATGCATATAAAGATCTCTCATTATTTTATAAAACATTAAAGCTCCTAAAACAAAACCTTTCAAATAACAGATGCTAAACGAACAATACATTTTGTGAAAATTTTGCAAAACACCACTTTGTTATTCTCTTAGGAATATCAACAAACAGGTAACGTGCGAAAAAAATATGACCTTTCTTTACGTTGTTGGATGTGTCTCATGCGCCTATTGTAATGATCCTCAATATACTTCTTCGCTGCAGCAACTTTCTCCAATGTCGAATTTGAGACCAAACCTTCATCCTCCAAATTCTTCTCAGCCTCCGACGTCGGAGCTGATGTCATCTTTGCCACCACCACCACCTCCTCTTGATCCGGTTCACAATTCTCCATCTTTTTCTCTCACAATGGTACAAATAAACCAGTTTTTTTCTCTCTTACCTCTCTAAATGCAGATAATTTCTCGCATTTCTCCCAAGAAAATCAATTGTGAAAATTTCATGAATGCGAGAACGAAAACAAGTCTCTTCTCCATCGATCAATCACAATTTACAAGTTTGGAATTCAGAAAAGGAATCAGGAATTTACCTTGTAATTTTGGTTTTCTATTTTTGCTATATACTCTTCCTCTATTCCTTATTAATAGATAGATTTTCTAGAAAAAAAGGATTATTTCAAAAATATAGTTTTTTAAGTTTTATGCATTTTTTTATGATAAATTGTAGATTTTAAGAAAATTAAATTGATCTATTGAGAATCTATTAGTTTAAGTTATAGGAGAAGATTATTAATCACAAAAATTAATGCAATTAAAATTATATTATCTAATTTAATATGTTTTCTTAATATATGTGTTTTCCATTAAAAAACCTATTAATAATGTACATAAGGAAATATACAATAAAACCTCTATAAATTAATAATGTTAGAAATGTAATATTTATTAATTTATCGATATAAAAATTAGCTAAAAATTAATCTGATATTTAAAAATATATTAATTTATCAAAATATTAATTTATGACTTGTTAATTTATGGAAGTTATACTGTATATACTATATAGTATGTATTTTTAAATAAAAAATCTGATGCATTAAATAAATGTAACCAAAGTTGGCATAAATTTTACATAAGCCAACTCAAGATTGAAATCCTATGAACCATAGAGGTTAGCAACACCATCCTCAACGGTAAACCCTTTTGATGGAGTTCTTCTTACCAATTTTTAATTATAAATTTTGATTGAGGAAAGAAAAACAAAAAAATTAATATGAGAAAAGAGAAACAGAGAACGTCCAAAAACACAGAGAAAATATAAGAAGAAAACGTCTAACAAAAAAATTTTTTTGCCAATACCTATCTAACATGTGGCGGTAAGAGTCGGTTTTATTATAATAAATCTAAGAATCGCATCCTAAAACCCCTATTGGAGCTGCCCTAAGTCCTATGTATAGTCGGTTTAGAAATATAAGCTCGAGCCTAAGCAGGTCGACTAAAACTTTGGTCCTTCTTGATCTCTTATTATAAAAACCATTTAAAAAAAATACAAATTTGTTCGACAGAATAATTCATCTGGTAATGGTAAAGGATATGTACGTTTATGATATTGATGTTGATGTGGAGATGTTGATGAAAGATAAACCACACATGACTTGAGTAGTCTTTATTGAAAACAAATAGAGAACTGAATACAATTTATTAAAATCTTGTATACAACATTTGTGCACAAACTGTTTTTTTTATTTTTTTGCTTTTAGCTATTCTAATCTCAAAGTCGGTTCTAGCATTAAATGTTTCTTGTCTACACGTGTTGTCCAAAAGACACAATGGATTTAGTTTACTTTTTCAAGCTTTTAGCTATAGATTTTACCATATCTACATTATTGATCTAATGCAGCAGAATAAAGCTGTTGAGAGTTGTTATATGGGATATATATACATGTGAATGCAAGGGAAGAGAATATCAGATTGTCTATATTGTTGATTATAAAGAGTGTTTTTTTCTTTATGGACACACGTAAGACCAAACAAAAGTTTCAGCTTGAATATGTGAAGTTGGTGAAAGGTAACAAGGTTTGAAGATCTAAAGTTATAAAATTATCACAAGGAAATGTGTTGGAGTTACTTGAAGGAATGTCGGAACTGTGAAGGAAGTCACAAGTTCCAAGGGTTGAAAGTAGCTGACAAAAGATGGAGTTAAAAGTTCAAGGTTAAGAACAGATAATTAAGGTGTTAGGACCCGAGCATTCATTATTTTCAGTTCCTCCTCAAATTTCAAGGCCATTATTTTCACTTGCTTCTCTAATTTTAAGACCTGAGCATCATCCCATCTTCATTGCGACTGAATCTGAGGTTTTGTTGAGCAATAACTTCATTGGCTTTATCCAGATCAATGCACAATTTTCCACCTCCTTGTTGTGCTCAGCCTCCCTATGCCAGTAAATTACAAGAAATCAGTATCAACAACCATAAGCTAAAAAACCAAAAAAAAAAAAAACATAAACTCTTAATGTTAAAGTTGATGGTTTATTGAGGTTTTATTGAGGTTTATTCCATACCCTTGTCATCCAAATTGATTAAAAAAAAAACTACTCAGTTGGAGTTTAAGTTCTCATTCTGTGTCTCCTTATCCACGGAAAATATTAATAAACTCATTAACCAGTAGGTTAAGGGGCTTTCACTGGTTGATTTTTCTTTAATCAACTTTTTAAAGTAAAAATGTATGGATTATTTTAGCGGTTTAGACAATCTAATCGACTGAATTGTCTTAAGTGGAAGCTTTACTCCTACTGTAACCAGATGATTTACAACAAACATAATTTCATACAGTAACCAGATGATTTACAACAAACCAGTATATTTTCCATTTTTATGGGTTTACAAAACATAAACCAAACCACATTATTCTCCCTTTTTTCTGTCCACCACATAAAACCTTACAAACCAATATATTTACATATAACTAAAAAAATATTGCAACTCCAAACAAAAAATTTGTAGAAAAATCCACAAGGAGAAATCAATCTTTTATATTAACAACCGCATTAGAAAACCGGACTCTTGATTTCCAATCGCGAATCGCAGACCGGAGTGTATGGTTTGGTGTGAGTTTGAAGTGGTCCAGCTTTTGTCGAGTCACTGGTGAAATGTTGTGTTTCTCAAGCCACGCTAAAATCGCTTTCTTCTCGTACGTGAATCCATCGGCTGCAACCTCTGGCTCCTCCATTATCTCCTGTACCAAAACAAAAAAACAAAATCAAAATCGGTTCAAATTTCTGGTTATTACGTACCAAACCGGGTAAGCTTTTCCTCACCCTTAAGATGGGACAGAAGTAATGACTTGGTGCACGCAAATTGCTTCGTTCTTTCTTTATCTTCGAATTTGCAGTCTCTACAAGCCGTTTCAAAACCGGTATAACCTCTGCTTTAAGATCCGGTCTATCTCGGCACCGAAATTCCGCACATTTTAAACCGATCCGTGCCAGCTCCTCGGTTTCCGCCAAAGGCCAATCGGTAACCGATTTGTCTAGCATTTCGGTTAACGTTCCTCTCTTTACCGCGTTTTCGACCGCGTGTACAAGCCCGCTCGGCTGACGAGCCGTCAACAGCTGAAGAATGGTTATCCCAAACGCGTAAAGATCTGATTTGGGTCTAATCGTTCCGGTTCGATGGTATTCTGGGTCAATGTAGTGCAATGTACCGGCAAGAACAGAGTGCCGGTACATGGTCACGTTATCCGGTGCAACATCTGTAACTAGCTTTGCTAAACCGACGTCGGCGATTTTGCTCACGTAGTTTCGGTTTAACAAGATGTTTCCCGGTTTTAGGTCGCGGTGAACAATTGGTTCCGGTTTAGAGCTGTGTAAGAAGGCTAAACCACAAGCTACCTCGAAAATTACTCTAAACCGGATAAACCAAGGCAAAGGCGGTTTATTTTTCCGGTGAAATATATATTCCTCGAGGCTTCCATTTTCCAAATACTCGTAAACCAAACAACCATTCTCCGGACAAGCACCGAGGAGGAGAACCACGTGTGGGTGTCGGAGTTGGCTTAGAACTTCAACCTATATAAAGAGTACCAAAAAGAAAATAAATTAAACCGGATCAAACCAAGAACTTAACCAAAACTGAAAACTGTTTTATTTTATACGATGCTTTTCATGCATATAAATAAATGCATACGAATAACTTATGTCTTAAAAACAATTAAGATAAAATGCTACTTTAATGCACTAATTTTATTTTGTTGGCAGAGTATATTGAATGATTAAAGAAGATATTTTACATGCAACCCTAAATCCTAACATTTATAAACCCTAAAACAGAAATTATAAATCCAAGAAACTAAATCGTAAACCCTAACCTCTAAAACGTAGATCGTCAACTCTAACATTTAAACAAAATGGCTTTTAGAAAATTCAGTCGATCTTTCTAATTTAGGTTTTTTTTTTTCTCTAAAGATTTTACTCCCAATATATTATCCTGTTATTATTACCTCTTTCAAGAACTCTTGTTTCTTCTCTGGCGTATCTAGCCGGACAACCTTAACAGCCGCAGGAGTACTATCAATGCTACAACGGTAAACTTTACCGTAACCTCCTTCTCCGATCACTTTCTCCGGCGAGAATCCTTCGGTGGCTGTAACGATCTCTTCGATTGTGTATTTCCTGTACCGGTGATCGGTTCCTAAAAGCTGATCGATCACTTTCTTCTTCTCCAAGTAAGTCCTTAAAGCATTCACTTCTGCGATCTGTCGCTGACAAAACTCTCTCGCAAGCAACGCCTTCGCTGCTTCTACTTCTTTGACCGCCTTCTTGTACCGCTCTTTCTCCAGCGCCGCGGTTTTCCTCTGCAACTCTCCTTTCTCCACAGCATTGTTCACCCTTCTAGCGTCTTTGGAACATTCCGACGACAGCACCTGAACCTAGGAAAAACCCCAAAAGAAACACTTTACTTGGAGAACAAGCAATCAATATGATCACCAGTTCAAAATGTCTTATATACTCTGTTGACAAAAACAATGAAAGAGGTGATATAGAGAACAAGGCCGTCTGAAACTATCTTGAATATCATGTGCGGAAAGCTCTTCACACGCTTGTTTAAATTAGGGATTAAAGACAATAATCATATACATGATTAAGTACCTTGTTTTGTGTGGAGAAAAGCTCTTCGCAAGCTTGTTTATATTTAACGACCGTACTTTGTAACTCCTTCTTCAAACGCTCGACCTCTGCTTCAATCTCAACCTGTCAATAGCAAAAAAATTTCAAATACTCTATCTTCCTTCTCACTATAGTCTCATCATTGAACAAAAAGATGTTAAGTACCTTCTTGGATTTTCTAGATGTTGCGGGTGGCGAATCAGAGTCTCTTTGTTCTCTGACGATGTTCTCATGATTCGTTTGGTGTTCGTTTGTTTGATCAAAATCTGAGTAATTTAGCTGTGGAATATCAGATCCTCCACGCCTCCTTACAATCTCTGGAACTGTCGCACTAGAATCCTTACTACTTTGAGGCGTTTCGGGATCACTATGAGCGAGGCCAAATACCTCTAATCTCAGCTCTTTAGCCGATGCTGACCTCCTCGTGCCTGCCTCTTCAACACCCAAAAGAAAGAAAAGAAATCTCAGGCTTTCATAGAGATCATATATAGGTTATACATACATGTATGCATTATTTTGTATACTCGATTATGAATCTACTATTGATGTTGCAACTTTCAACGTCGACTTTGATACTGAAACCATATTTTGAATTTAGATTCAGAGTTATAAGATTATGCAACTAGTGCTTGTGAATTTGTTGTGAAATTTACATTGAAGTAGTAAAGAATGATTCTTCTTATTTTGAATTATTCTTGTTATTTACTAGAAAACAAGGGGATTCTTTGCTTGCAGAAATGGGTAAATGTTTTCAAAATAACAAGTTAGCTAGAACTGAGATTTTTTATTTTGTAGTAATTTGAAAGTTTTGACTATGTATTTAACGTACCACATTATTTTATATATCTTATGGGTCTCTAATGGATATTTATTTGTATATAATTTACCTATGGATTGTCGAGGATCAGATAACGTTTTAGACTGTACATTGTGGAAGCTAGCCGCCCCGTCTTTCAGGAAACCGCGGGCGGTCGCGGCTGCGTTTGGACTTGTGCATGGCGCTTATAATAAGACGTATAAACACCTATTAAAGAGAAGTTTGTAGAAGCAATAGTACCACTTATTGAATAAAATTAGATAATACAAAATATATACTGTTTTTACCTGCGTTGATCAATGGATCCATAGATTTTGTAGTGATTCTGTCTCTACACACAATGTATACTTCACATGTCTCTGGGGCGTATCTTAAGACAGTCAATGGTACTCCTGGACCTTTTGTTCTCCTAAACCGAGGTAAACCAGCCGGTTAGTGTAAATAACCGATAACCGTGTTATTTAAGGAAAATTAAACCAAACTGAGCTACTGTATTTATATACCTTGTGAATATGTTTGAATTGAATGAGCCCATAACCAAACTGTTAACTCCTGATTTGTAAATGAATCTTAGAAGCGCTTTGGCTGGATCATCGTACTCTAGCAACAGAGTCTCTACCTGACACTGAAGGTTATATAATTCAGGGAATTTACAGTTTGATCCTAAAACTTCTTTAGATTTATAAATTTGAACTGAAAAATAAAAAGGAACCAACCTTGGTACTACCACTCTTGCACATTTTCAAGAAGGGAACAAAGACTGTTTCAAATTCTTGTTTCACGTCTCTCACATACATTTCGACCAATCTCTCCTCCACTTCCTCCACCGGTAGTCTCTCTCCGGCTACAACAACCACCATTCTCATTAAACATTAATCTTTAAAAAAAATAACGTCAATCAAATATCAAAGTTTGATTCAGGATCCGGTATATTAATATTCAATCAAGTTTTTGGAAGTATTTTTGTTATAATTACAATTCTCATGTTATCCAATCATTAATATTCACAAAAAAATTAAGTGAATTATTTGGAGATGTTAATAACAAATCATAACAGTGTTCTTAAATCCATAACCTCTAATCATTTGAATGAATACAACACATGATTTTTTTTTTTAAATAACCGTTTTGCTTACAATGTAAGAAAAAAAAATATCAATCATTCAAAGTTAAACGCAAATGCTACACATATATAATAACTATGATCTAAATTAATTTAAAAAATCACATTTTGTACCTAATTTTTTATTTATTTTGAGTTAAACAAACAAAAACCATTTTTTTCTTAGTTCCTTTTATCATTTAGCTTATATAATTTTTATCTCGTTTAATTCATGTGGAAAAATAAATTAAAAAAAATGCAAGAAAATGTGACCGTATGTTGATTGAGAGACTTACTAGGGGTAGGAATAGTACTAATGGTGGGAATGACGTGAATCATCACAAACCGATGAGCCTTAGGTAAGAGATTATCGACGGCCCACCTTACGGCCCGGCGGCTACCAGCCCCGCCCAATTTATCTCCGATGATACCCTTCACGGCCACCGCCACAAACAACTCACCCTCCTCCGCAGTAGGACCACCACCGCCGCTCATTTCTCGGCCCTTTTGCGTCAACATTACCACCATCTAAATCGACTTACTTTCGTGTGCCACAAGTAATCTAAATAATACGTTTTTGATTCTGAAGGAAATGCTGTTGCAGAGATTAGTACCTCTCTGATCACGGCTATATTGTATTAATATCTCTATATATATGGATGGATAGGTTACGACCAAGTGTTAATAAAATATATACAAACATATAATATGATAATTAGCTGAGCAATCTATCTGGAATAGTTTATTAAAAAAAAATATACGAACAAAAAATATGACTATATATATAAAGAGCTCTAAACGGATGGACTCATATATATAATTATAAAGCTTGATTGGAAAAGAAATGATGTAGATGTGTTTTACATACAAAATATATATAAAAAAGGAGTTTGAAGTAGACTCATAGGTTGAATATTATTTAATTTGCCTTTGGGAACAAAAAAAACAAGATTTGTTTGATAATCATCGATTCGGATCTTGCAGTCCTGAATATATAGTTTATTGTAAACATAAATTATAGAAATATTAAGACAAAAAGAGGAAGTAATCGATGGGATGGAGTCATGGAGATTGCCTTCAAATGTTTAATTATTCATTTAATACTTTTCAAATTCGAAAATTTCTGGACGGCCAATTAGTTAATTATTATTAGCGTGCAGCTTTATTATCCGGAGTCTTCCATCAACATACTGTATAAATGTGTAGGCTAGAGCTCAGCTAAGTAGAGATTTTTATTTCCATATCGTATACTCTTTATACAAATACAATTATTAATTTATTCGTGTATTTTCCTATTCAAACTTACAACTTTCAAAAGACATATAATAAATTTTATTTAGGAATATTCATTCTTTTATTTGAAAGTAACATAACTTAGTTAAGCTACTGGATTCACCTGGAAGAGCTGAAGTGGTCGCAAGTTCGCAACTATACAAATTTTTCATATTGTTTTTTTTTTTTGCTATGAATTCATATTGTTACTTTTTCAAACAATTCAGATGACTAATATAACGATTGATGTTTTGAGCTTTTATACGAATTTTTATACGTATCATTCATACACTTTGTTGACAAAAACAAAAGTACATATATAATTCACACTAGTTTATAGTTGATCTGAATTTTTGTATGACCAATGCAGCTTTTAGTGATAATCACTAGATTAAATTACCGTTTTTAGGTGACAATAATTTTTTCAATCTTTTTAGAGTTACCAAAATCTAAAAAAAAATCAGTATTTTAACCGAAAACTAATGTAAAATATTGTGATCTGGTTTTATTGGTCACGGTTTCTTGCAAATTAGTTGTTTAGGATCAATCCGATTTTGATTTGCTAAATGATCAAAATGTTTGGGATCATTTTCTAATATCTATTATATAAAGAGTGAGTTGAGTCTCACAAATTTGACACCTAAGCACTCATTCTTTTGACACATCATCTTCTAAACAATTATTAGATTTTTATTATTTAATAATTTTTAAAAATCTTTTCGTAAATAAGCTTCAATTTATTACTTAAATCATTGAATTCAGTGATAAATATACATTTATTAAGATAATTCTCCTAAAAAATGTGATTCATCTTCCTTAAATTAACTAATGTATATATCCTTATATACAAATTATTTTAGTTAGATTACTGAACTAAAAAAAAAATAGGAGCAGTCATAAGAGGTCGAGAGAGAAAAAAAGAGAAATAAGAAAAAAAAAAGAGGAGAAAGAGTCGTGAAAGGAGGAAGACAAGAGAAGAGAGGACAAGCCGTGAGTAGGAGAGGGAGAGAGAGGAGGAGATTAATGACAAAGAAAAAAAAAGAAACAGAGAGAGCACATAAACACGAGGAAGGAGAACAAGTGTTAGGAAATCAGAATAGATGACGTCGCAGAGAAAGAATGGACCATCACCACCGCAAAGGAGAAGAATTGAGAAAGGTATATCTGTTTGTGGAAGTAAGTAAAAAAGGAATCAAAACAAATCAGAATGACTATTAGATACGAAATCAATTACTAACTCAACAGAGAATCGGCGATGACCTATAAAAGCTTTTGATTTCTTTATTTCAATAGACATCAAAATATCCATGCGAAGGCTAAGCATCCACTATACAATGTTCCTTTGCAAGGAGACCGCCAATGGGGGTCTATATTCTACGAGTCTAATTGTGATTATGTGTAGAATATACTAGCTGGGTCAATAAGTAGTAGTGTTATTGTATAGCTTAAGAGTTCTTTAATTATAATTTACCAAAAGTTTATTTATTTGCTTATAATATAAAGTTTATGTAAATGTTTATGGATATGTATGACAGTTTGTTTAGCTAATTAATAGTTAAAATAAAAAATCTACTAATCATTTTAATACATTCCATAGAAATGCTTATAACCTACTAAACAGAGGTAAATATATTTTACCATGTTCAAAAAAAGAAAGATTGTTGAAAGTTTGGCTCCAATCATGTAGGAACTAAGTGGAACAGAATATGAAGAAATGAGTAGTAAAATGTTGTCGTTTAAAGAGTCTATTTGAGTGTGTGTGTGTGTGTGTAGTGTTTAGAAAGATTGGATTAGGATTGTGTTTTGGTGACTTCATTGGCAAATGTTATCGTATAATTAAGAAAATTACAAATCCAAAATACAAAAAGAGTCTTCAAAGTAGATTTAGAGTAATATTTTAATAATGCAACGATAATTTTTAACAATGTGAAATAAATAACAACTATATCACTGTGGTTAAGAGAGAGCTAAGAAGTTTTTATAGGAGTTGAGAGAAGTGAGCAAAACGTGATATAGTTTAAAATATATCAGTGCATTCGTGTTAAACTATAGATTTTTAGAACAATTTAATATTTAAAAAAAATCTTTCTATTTTTAAATATATACAACAGAAATAATAGATTTTTACATAGTATTAAGGTCACCAATTTGTTGTGAGATTTAAAAAATACATTACAACAAAGACCTGCGTGTATACGCGGGTATTCATCTAGTCTATTATATATAGACTCAGTTGAGTCTCACAAATTTGACACATCAGCATCCATTTTTTTGACACATCAGATTAAAAAACAATTATGAGAGAATTAAATAATTAAATTATACTAATTTCTTTTTTAATTGAACACAAAAACCAAAAAAGAAGTGCATATTAATTTATGATTCATAATGAACTGCAAATTAATTTTCATTCTGGAAGTTGGAAAGATGGAATTTCAAACAATCTCCAATGTTTTCTAATATCGACTCAAAATTCCACAAGTCAATAGGTAAGATTTTTTATTCTACGTCTCCTCTTTGATTTATGGGTTTTTGAGAGCTGCATTATATCTCTTGTATTGAATTCATTCTGGTTTTGTTTACATAGACATTGATCCATTTTCTTTATATAAAGGCATACCCACCGATGACAACACTACCACCAGGACAAAGGCTTGAGATTTGAAGTCTCAGGCAGAAATCAACAAAAAACAAGGAAAAACACAACACTGTTTGAGCACAAAGAAGAAGTACGACAACATGGAGAAGACACTTGGTGAGACGAGACAGAAAGTAGAGGATAAGATGGTTTGGAAAGGAGGATTCGAAGTAAAGAGTAAGCTCTTATAACTGTTCCCGTTGGGAATTTTCCACTCATTGTTAAGAAAAAGCTCATCTAATAAAAATTAAGCTAATTTCAAACGATTAGGTTCAAGTTATGTTCATTGATTTTTTTTATTTTCTTTAATCTTGATTGATTAGTCAAAGAAGACAAGGAAATGAACTGTATTGTTTAAGCAAATCAATGACAAAGCTTCAAGGTCAGCTCTTGAAATTCTAAATTCTAATGAAATTTATTTTGAATTTTGGTTGAAAATCTCTTACTTTATTATTCAATGTATGATTTGAAGTTTCAGTTATAATATTAAATATGAGATGGTAGCTATAAGTTTTCGTCAAGAAGGGAAGTTTGAGGGTGGAGTTTGAGACAAAAGTGTCATAGATATGGACAAAAAGTTGATGTCCTTATCATTTGATTGCCTGATTGGCTTGTATCTCATATGTTTTTTTAGGCTTCTGATCTTTATCTATGATATCCAAGGCATGTTTGCAATGGAAGGTAATGCAGAATTTTTTTTAAAGGACTTAATTCTTCAAATAAACCTTGAACAGGACGAGTTTGTAGGGTTTAATTTCATTTAATTTCAATACTTGCTCTTTACTTCCAAGCCACCAAGTCTCTCAACAAAAACCATCTTCCTAACGCTCTTCCTATTTGTAGTGATTAGACATAAGCTGAAGAACCATTAATAAGGTCAGTTTGGGATATAGCATATCAGGTGGCTTAACTATATATCGTATTTTTTCCACTCTCACTCTCTCTGCTTTAATCTTTAACAAAAAATATATGCGGAAACATATCTCTGAATGATGAAAATACATTATAATACGATTTGGTGAAGATATTAAATTTGTCTTACAAAATACATATTTTTATCATTAAAAATTAACTAATAAAAAAAAAAGGTTGAGAATAATAATGAAAAATATTTGGTAGGGTGCAAAAATAACAAGTATTACATCTATATAAATAATGACTACATTTTACAAATTCATGTGATATTCAGATTACCAAATACAAAAAATTAGAATATATAAATTTATAGAAAAATATCTATTAATAAATTATATTAAAATAAAAATCACATTTAATGACTATATTTTTACAAATTTGGATGATATTTATATTATCAAAAATAAAAAATATGTTAATTTTGTAGAAAAATGTAATTTCATTATGAACCATATATCATTTACAAGTGCAAAACTTTACACAAAATAATATATTAGGAATCCATTTTCTTTGTATAAAGGCATACCCACCGATGACAACGCTATCACCGGGACAAAGGGTTGAGACTTGAAGTCTTGGGTAGAAATCAACAAAAACAAGGAAGAACACAACACTGTTTGAGCACAAAGAAGAAGTACGACAACATAGAGAAGACACTTGGTGAGACGAGGCAGAAAGTAGAGAATAAGATGGTTTTGAAGGA